GCACTCTACCACTTGAGCTACAGCGCCACTTCCGGTTTTCTGGTGGTTTATTGGAGATAGGAGTCTCAAGGTCTCTCCTGCCCGGGCTGGCTTTGAACCGCGATCCTCAGATCTCAGCCTCCTGAGTAGCTAGGATTATAGGCGTGAGCCACCAGCACCCGGCGAGGTGAAGAATTTTTATCTCCCTTGATCATTACAATCAAATCATATCCAAACAGATTGCCATTTTATACAGGAAGTAATTTAGTTTTAAAGGTTGTGTGCAACTAGGCCTTGGCTTACAACTATCTGCCATGTGTCAGAATAAAGACAGATTTTTAGCAGGACTGTAAAACTTTTCTTTGCATAGAATTTCAGGTTACATCTTTCTCCCCAGTTTTTGCTTATACCCCATTTTCCTAGGCTCTGAAAGGATCCTGATCTAATCTTTTTGTATATGTAGGGTGGAGGGAGGCTTAAACTCAGGGCCTGAGTGCTGTTCCTGAGTTTTTTCTCTCAAGGGTGATGCTCAGAAGTGGAGCTTTTCTGGTTTTATGATGGTTAGTTGGAGATAAAGATTCTTATAGATGTTCCTGTCTATGCTGACTTTGAACCACAATCCTCAGATTTCTGCCTCCTGAGTAGCTAGCAAATCTTCTTTTTGAACAAGAATGAGTTGATAAGTCTAAGGACATATTCTAACAACATCAACTTTAAACATGTCTAACTTCCCCTCACCGGTGCTGCTACCGTACATTGTGAGTCCTCACAGACCTCTCTTTCAGCCCTCCAGGAACATGTCTATCTGTCTACACTCAGTTGGTGTTTTGTGGGCTAAACTCTGTCAGGACATGCCAGGCCAAAGGTTCAACACAGTTTAGCTTGTGAGTCTCCATCCCACTTCTTAACGTTACTGTTGTAGGCAGCACTGGCAAAGGGAGATGACACTGCCTCCACTATAGATTCCATTATGTTCTTAGTTTGTCAATTAAGAGGCGTTTGTATGGTCTAGGGGTACAGCTCTCTGGTAAAGTCTATGTCAAGTAGGCACAAGACCCTAGGTTTTATACGCAACATCACAAAGCAAAACACAACACAGGTATATGTATATTTTTGTTAAAAATAATATTTTTGTTAAAAATATACATATATTGCCTCGTGTTGCCATCTGTTGGTGTAGATCATATATTAAAAGTGGCTCACACCTGTAATCATAGCTACTCAGGAGGCTAAGGTTGGAGGATCACAATTCAAAGCCAGCCTAGGTAGGCAACTCAGTTAATTAGACTCTCTTATGTCCAACTAACCAGAAAAAAAAACAAAAAACCAACAGAACTTGAGACATGGCTCAAATGGTCGAGCCATGGGTGAAAAAAAAAAGTGAAAAAGCCAAATAAGAGGGCAAGGCCCCTAAATTCATGCCCCAATATCAGCACCAATAAATAAATATTTCAAAAAATTAGTATTCAATCATTATTACTTGAGATATGCCAAATCCTGTCTTAGTGGCCACTTTTCAGGGATTACTTAGCAAAAAAAAATTTTTTTAAGTCATTTTATCTTAACTCCTAAAGCTTTACTTAGCCCTTTCTACTGGTCAATGTTTCACTATTTTTACAGAGGGGAATCAAAGAAAATTGGCCGTGAGGGTCTACACTGTTGGGGTTTAGTTTTCCCTTGCTTCAGCAGCCCTTCAATTATTTTTGCTGACCAGCAGGCCAAAGCCACATATGGCAAAGTAAAAGTAAAATCACATAGGAGGATCCAGAGCCTCCACACAACACCTCTCTCCTGCCCCTTTCCATCTTCTGCCCTAACCTAACCCCTTCCATGTGTACCTTGCCGTTCCTGCTTCTCCTCCACTCCTCTAGCCTCAGGATTTGTTGACCACACCTGCTACACAACCACGAAATAATTTTGAAATGAACAAAACAAAGGAGAGACTGAGGGTTTGCTGATCCCTCCTCTACAGCAAGAAAAGTGTGGGTGTCTATAGAAAGGCCTCAAATCATCAGGAAAAAAAGCCATTTTTAGACACACTCCACACACGCTGCATAAAGGTGTGTTTGTGTGTGTGTGTCACTATTTTATGACTTTCTTAGAGTACAGAAGTGGCAGATTTTTGTGAAATACAAATTTGAATTCTGTTAAATAATCCAAGAGAAAATGTCATTTTCTCAAAATCTCTCCAGACTTGTATTCTTGAGCTTATTTATTCAGCAAACATTTACTGAATGCCAACTAAGTATCAAGCACTAGGCCAGGTGCTGGGGAGAGGGGGGACTGAATTTTTTTTTAAGTTCACATTTGCTCTGCCTTATAAAAGCCCTCAGCCTCAGGATAAGATTGACAAATAAGAGTGATAGGCACTGTAGTAAAAGTACTCACAAAATACATTGCAGTCCAGAGGGATTCCAATTGATACAAACTTGAGGGAAATTACTACTCCATGAATCTTCATCCCAGAAGTTTTATGTCTGACACCCAGGGGGGAATCTCTACAGAAAAGTAAAGCTTCTTGTCCAGAATATTACAGTGAAGTTGTGATCAGGTGTTGAGCCACCAGAGACCAGCAAAAAAAAAAAAAAAAGCATGATTTTTAAGATATATTTAATGGGTCATGTGATTTTTTTTGACTTCACCTTTTCAATTTGCTTACCTTTAGTGAACTTGGAAAATATAATATGGCTTCTCATTTGATGAACTGAACTTAAAACATTCATTTTTATCAGACATAAAAAACTAGGAAAATTATATATATTTGCATACAAATATATCTGATATGTTACATAGCTGGGTAAGTCAACTTACTGTTATTTGAAATGCAGCTGCTGCTACATATTTAGGGTCCTTCCCTATCAGTGTATTATTAATAAGTTAGCTAATCTTCACCAAAATTAAGACTTGTGTTAGATTGCATAGAAAACCACAGGTCTCTCTCTGGTTGATCTCTTATGATTGGTAGCATTTTAAGTGACTGTCATATTAAGTCAGTTTGATTTCAGGCATAAATAGGATGTACTAATAAATACATAGTAACAAAATGGTGGTAGGCCCCAGTGCCTTCTCCAGAACATTAAACCCAGGAAATGAATTACAGTGGCACACCCATCTCCCAGAAAATAATACAAAGAATTTTAATTGATCCTTTAAGCCATATTCTTCTACATTTCAAAAACAAGTTCTTGCTACATAGCCCAGGCTGGCCTCAAACTCAAAATCCTCTTGCCTCAGCCTCCTCAGTGCTGAGATTACAAGCCTGTGCCACCACACCCGTCTTTAGAGGTACATTTTGAACCTATAGCTTAGCCTGATAGAACTTTCTGCATAGATGGACAGATGGACACATATTCTATATCTCTGTTGTCCAATCTAGGAGCCACCACCTATGGTCATTAAGTGCTTGAAATGTAGTTGATAAACTTTGGAATTAAATTTTACATTTAATTTCCTTTTTTAAAAAAATAATTTAATTCCAGTAAGGCACATGTTGTTAGTGGCTATCCTACTGGACAGAATAGCTATAGAAAATCCACTGAATATGATGGATTTGCTCACAATTGAAAGTTTATTAAAGGCATTCACTGAACTGCCACATATAAACGGAAAACAATATTTGAACATAGATGTCACAGTAACTTCCTGCCCCATATATTAAAACACCAAAAAAAAAAAAAATCAAAGGAAAATCGGTCCTACAATAAATTTAATAATAGGTCTTGGCTTTTACATAAAAAAAAAATGTGGATGTAAAATTTTCATTTCCCTCCAAAGAATTTATGTTTTGACTTTTCATCATTCTGGACAGTAAGACAATCTTGTGTTTTCTAAGCCTATTTGTGTCTTGCTTTCTAACGAAGGAAAGAGCAATTAGGAAAATTTCAAGTAGTCGTGGACAAAATGCAAAACTGACCTCTCTCATAAATGGTTTCTCCTAGAACCCGGGGGAAATAGGGGATTGGTTTCTCCTTCCTCATCCTGAACGTGTGTAGCTGAAAAACACCCCCCAGTTGTACATGATTTTGAGCTGAAAATTACTAGAGATTTTTTTTTTTAATCTAAAGCATTAGAGCTACTCACTGACTGACCGCTTCATCTTTTATTGAGTGGAGCATCGTCTAGAAGCCTTTCCCCTTTAAAAGTCATCCCAGTTACATCTAAGAAACATCCATTATTACGCTTACAGGGAATGTGCTTTTTTTTGCCGGGTGTTAGAATGAGATTAATCATCTTTGTCCATCAAGAAGCTCAGGCTTGATTAAATCAGTCAAGGACATTAAATTGTAGCTTTGCTTACTCTGCTGACATACCCATGCTGAGTTGAGGGAGAATTTGTGAAAGTATCATTTGGATGGAATTGTATGCCTGTCTCTTTAAATCTAAAAAAAAAAAAAATCCTTTCAGAAGCTGTAGAGAGAAGGTGCTAGAACTGTGTACGATCATGACTGGAAAGCAGGATCCCTCAGTGACTGCCGAATCTTCCGAGCACAAGCTAGAGAGGCAGTTCAGCACAAGCCTCCACTGATTCTAAAAGCAGAACGATGATCCTGCCGGCCAGATCTCAAATAAAATTCAATTGAGAGCGCAGATCTTTCAAGGGAATGAGGCGGAGGCTCGCTTTTATGTTAAAAGCCACCAGCATCCTCCCCGCTAGACATGGACATGACATTTTTAAAGGAATTCTTTGGTTACAGCCTTTTAAGCAAACCGTTCTAAGGAGTCTGTACATTGCATTGTTTTTTCTATTCTTTTTTTCTTTTGCATATATGTAATTCTGGAGGTAAAGAAAAAGCCTGCCAGGGATTCAGAAGGCATCCCACTAGCGATCAGCTGACATTCCTAACTGAAGGCTGCAATGTGTTGCTTATTCATTTTGTACCGTGGGAGCTGCGGGGACTAGCAGAGAGCTAAACTATGCATTTCAAACAGCAGCGCTTGTGCAGAAAGAGGGGTGAGAGAGAGGCAGCCGGCGAGGAAAGAGCACAGCTGGACTTTCTCCTGGTTTTTATCCATTTCTGCAGGGTCATGTATTCATAAGGGATGAGGCGGGCCACGGCGATCCCAGGCCTGAGCCGCGGCCTACCCAGTCAGTTCAGAGCCAGGCCCTCCACTATCGGAACAGAGAGCGCTTTGCCACGATCAAATCAGCATCTTTGGTAAGCAAACACCCCTCTACCCACCTTCCCTTTCCTTCCCCTCCTCCCTGTCTGGCAGCCTCTCGCCCTCCCTGAGCCTCTCTCGGCTTCATGGATGGGAGGAAAGGAGTCAAGAATGTTCTCTCCCTCCTTAATAATTTTATTCATTTTAGAAAAAAAAAATCTGTTGGCATAGCAACCTGATCTCAGATATTTTAGCATTCTGTATGGCATGGGGGGGAAAAAACCTTTGTGTGTGTGTGTGTGTGTGTGTGTGTGTGTGTGTGTGTGTGTGTGTGTGTGTGTGTGTGTATTTGTATATGCTGTATATGTAAAATAATAAGGCCTTCCAGGTGAGTGGCTAGCCTATCCAATTTTTTTTTAAAGCTATCTGTCTTTTCATTGAAATAAATAATGCTAAAATATTTTTAAAGGTATTGATGTATGTATATGCAGGGGTATGTGCTTCTTTTTTGTATAGATGCATGTGTGTCTATAATGAACACACACATACACATCAAAAGATAAAACAGAATTTTTAAAAATATATGGGTGCCAGTTAACATCTCTAATTGCAGAAAAATCAGATACTTGCTTCCCAGGGATGTATTGCTGGTTCGTTCTGGTTCATTCATTTATTTATTACAACAATGGTAGTGGCCGTGCTCCCCCATTTAACCCCTGAAGAATTCCCTGGCACCAATAAAGCCAGAAGGGCTTTGTAGGAGAGGGTAGGGATGGTCGCAGGAGCGAAGGGACCGTGAGATCCTTCAGCATTTTTTACTATTGTAAATGGGATTGCTGCATGTCCTTGTAGTAGCAAAAGGGGTGTGTGCTGGAAGAGTTAGTTTTCATGCCTCCTCCCCTCGGCCCCCCACGCGTGCGCGTGCGCGCTCACCCACACTCACACACACACACACACACACACACACACACACATTCACACTCACATCGCTTCATCCTTGGCATTCTAAACTCTCCTTAATCTTTCCCTCCTGCATCTCATTTCTCAACTAAAAAGAAAATTGCTGAAATATTAGTTGTTTTGCCCAAATGGATGTTAGAGGTCACATGGGCAAAGAAGAAGAGTTAGTGTACACCGCTTGCTTGCTTGGCTATTACATTTAGAACCTGTGATGACGTCATCCAAGGCCGACCCAGAAATGATCGTGGGGTTTTTTTTCTTGTCCTATTTTTTTTCAAACCTGATTTCTACTTTGATTCCCCAAGTCTCTGAAAGGCTCCAATTACATTTGAAATTTAGAATGAATTATAATCTTTTAACACCCCATATATAAAGAAAAATGGAAGTCAAAGCACCTACCTATTGCTTATGCCTGCTGTTGTAAAAAAGCAAGCAATTTAATTTAGATGTAAGTTCCTTGATGGAGAAGTTTCTGGTAATCTCATTGATGGGCAATTTTTCATTTTAAAGGAATGTTACACTGTGTAATGGAGTCTTAAAATGTCCACTCAGTATTTGCTAATGATTGTTTTAAGTACCTAAAGTGTGCTTCTGAGTCTAAATAAAGCAGGGTGGCATTATTTAAATAATAAGTATCTCCCTGCCATGATTACTGACAAAAGAAACATGGTATTTGTGGGAGCTTGAGTACTGAGCACACTCCTGACAGGCTTGTCCCTGTCCCCAGCCTGCTTGTGTTAGAGAGGAGAGAGAAATGGCGAAGGGCCCTGAGCATCACCACACCACACCACAGGCAGGTTAGGCAAGGAAGCAGACATGGTACCAAGTGCAGTCCCCCCTCTGGGACAGGTTCTCTTCTCCTCTCCTGGCCACACCCTCATTCCCACATCACATATTCATGACTCTCCTCCCTCCCTGTAAGACTCTACTACAGCCAGGCCAGAAAAATCTCCCACTGGTCTCTGTGAACTCACCCAGGGCTGCTCTGTGTGTGTTTCAGCCATCACAGTCTTCCTCTCTGCAGATGAGAAAGCTGCTTCCCTGCTAGGCCAGGGCGGGCTGTGGGTGAAGTCCTTAGGAGCCCTGCTGACTCCTACAGGCTTCACAGTGCCTGCCCAGGGAACTGTCAACGGCCATCTCTCTGATGGACTTGAGATTGACTAAAGGACTACTCCTGTATGAAGTTGAAAACGGAGTAGTTGATGGGCGGTTGCTCTAAGCATAAAAACAAGTTGGTTTTGCAGTGCACCCTCTCTGAGTAAATGCTTCAAGAGTTGTGATGGGATCCATCGGAACTGCTCAGAGTTTAGGGGTTTTGTATCTAGTGGTTTTGAGGGAGAATAATAAATCAATGGAAGGCAGAAAGAGCATGGTGTGATACAGCTCACCTCTCACTTTGGATAATCCAACTGCTAGTATGGCTGTTTTCATGTATGCTATAAAGTACTACAGTTCTCTGCATCAGATCATTGCAAAGGTGAGTCCCATTAGGAGTCAGGACACTGAATATCCGAAAGTATTCTATTTTCAATAATGAATTCTATTGGCTGTTTTATTTTTTGTGGGTCCTTTGTTGTTGAGGATGATGCTTCTGTTTTGGTTTTGGTTTTTTGTTGTTGTTGGTTCGGGGATTTCTTTGGTTTTTGTTGGTGGTAGTGGTGGGTCCCAGCTCAAATGGATTAAAATACCATCAAAGTAAGATCAGAGGAAAAAATGAAGGTCCAGTGTAATGAGTAACCAAGTCACGGTTGGAAACCTCACTTCCCCTAGTTGGTAGCTATAAAATATTGATTGATTTTGGTTTTATTCTTTGTCATCTTTCAGTAGAATGCTAACAAGTCACTGAGAGAGCCAAACATGAACAGCAAAATGAGGAGGAATTTAGAAATTCATTTTTCAGTGATGAGCCAATAATTGATGAGAATATATCTTAAGTCAACTTGCAAACTAACAAAAACATTATAGCTAAAATTGTCTGGTGAACCTACCTTTCAACACAAATCTGAAAGGGGTAATACCTGGTTGTTTCTTTCCTCTGTATGACTTCCTCCTTTCTGCCTGCGAATCAGTTTGTGACAGGTGTGTAGAACCCATGAACTTGGGGTACTCAACTGCTGGAGGTTGTTTGGGCACCTGAAAACTGAGATTTCTGTGTTTGCAGGCTCTGCCACACAACTGCATTTGTAACAAAGGGGAAAAAAGTAAACTTTAGAATTATAATTTCCTTCATAGTCTCCTAAGAGCAGAGATATTAACCTTGTTTTGAAGCACTAGGAAAATGAAAGTGATTCCATGGCATCTTCTTTTAATTTTAGACTTCCTCTTCCATCTGTAAAAAAAAAAAGTTCCTATTGAGTTGAGTTGTTGTCTGGAGGAGAACGGTTTAGATAATTCTTCAAGATTCCTTGGCCCTTTTAGATGAGTCTTCCCTTGAGTAAATAGACAGCATGATATTTTAATTATATTACTGACCTATGCACAAAGTGTTTTCAGCTGTCTGTACATCTGATGTCATTTTTTTCTTCAAATTTTGTAATATCCCAGGTCCCTATTTTCTTGATAGGTGTTAATATAAAGAGCACCAAGAGCCAGACACTGGTGGCTCACATCTGTAATCCTAGCTACTTGATCTGAAGGTCACAGTTCAAAGGAAAATCCATAAGACTAATTTCCAATTAACCACCAAAAAGCCAGAAGTAGAGCTATGGCTAAGTGGTAGAGAGCTAGCCTTGAGCAAAAATATAATGGGGCAGCACCCATGCATTGAGTACAAGTCCCAGCACGCACACACACACACACACACACACACACACACACACACACACACACACACACACACCACCTAAGCCAATTTTTTTTCAGCCATTGGCCTTATTATACAGGAATTCTGAATAGAATGCAGTATCTTCCTTGTCCAGGTGAACTGAGGACAGAACACACATCAGGAAGAGGGATGTAAGGGGGAAAGTCCCAGCTTATAGTCCCCAGGAAAAAAAATGGAGGGGAGAATATTAGTTTTCTATCCATAAAATACAGACTCTCTTATTTGGCTTTATAAGATTCAGGAACAAGATTGCAATTAAAACTACATTTGGAGTTTTTGAAAATGCAACCCAATTATTCAACTCATTCTACAGTTGAATACCGTTTACTACTTGAGAATAGAAGTGTTTGTGTCTCAGCAGTAAGTATTCCTGTGTCCAAATATAGGGTACTAGGAGATGCCCATCCAAACCCTGAATGTCTCCTTCCTTGTTCTTGGCCTTGCCACTCACTGAGATCATTGCAGAGGCCATTTTTTACATGCTCTGTCAATCAGCATGCCCAGCCTATGCAGCCAGTCTCAATAAACACATGCTGAATAAATGAACTGTGAAATCTCCGCCAAACATTGACATGTGAGAACGTGGATGTAGACATGTGTGTTTCAGAGTTAGTCATGTGATATTCTCTGTTATGAGGCAGAATTTTCTGGGGTCCATCATTACTTGCAGTGAGAACTTAAAGACTTATTTTAGGGGTTCTTAAGGGTGAGATGTCAGATTCCTAAGGCCCAAATGTGACTCACTGTATTCTTTTTAAGAACTAGCTATGGATTTTTTTGTTTTAAGTGATAAGGTAACTACTTTTCTCATATACACCATTTTGATTTTTACAAATAATCTTTTTTTTTTTAAATTTAATTTAATTTTATTTGTGAACATACTGTACAGAGGAGTTACAGTTACATGGGCAGGATAATGCGTACATTTCTTACCAAGCATTGCAGCCTCCTCCTTTACAAATAATCTTGTTGATTGGTTCTGACCTCTTACGAGGATAACATTATCAGCCACCACACCCTTCTTTTACATTGAATAAGTTGCTTATTAGCCTCTTAGCGCAGGGCTTTAGACGTGGTATTCATAGTCTACACCTTGGATAAAATTGAGGGCCAAATTTTGTTGGAATAAATAGGGTGGTGTTGAAAGGTTAAATAAACTATCCTTTAAAAAGTTTAAATTGGGGCTGGGAAGGTGGCTCAGTGGTAGAGCGCTAGCCTTGAGCTGAAGAGCTGAGGGACAGCACCCAGGCCCAGAGTTCAGGGCCCACAACC